AACATTACTGTTTTCCAGGTTATACTCCCACACCGAATACCTGTTTCTGGATTATTGCCCCCCAGATGTTTAGCTTGAATTTTCAAAACTAAATCTCATTTTGTTATTCGCTACCAATGTCTCTAATCTCTCTAGGTCTATTTCTTTTATTTCTCTGTCCTCATTGGTATTTGCAACTTTCTCCAGTTTAGCATCATCTGCTAGTTTCATTAGTATGCTGTTCACTTTCTCTTAAAGATCATTAATAAAGACAATAATTATGGTCTCGAAGCTGCAATGAAACTGAGTCTATGTGACTATGCATTTGTACCAGTGGATCTCTTTACAGGACTGAGGCCTTAAACTGGACCCAAAAGATCTCTGCAGTTCCTCATACGCATGTCCCCCATTCTTTACTATTTATCACTTTTTGTTTATTGTTCTTCAATCAGTTTTTAATTCACAACATTGGCCATATTTTAACTAATTTGAGAGTGAGATTTTAAGAGACAATATTTCAGATGTTTTACTCAAATTTAAATAAATTCAGCTGTAACTTTTCTATTATCCACTATGGCCTCAGCCCCTGACCCTACAACCAGATCCATCAGGCAGATGAATCTTTGCATCCATGCAGAAACCATTGATGTCTGTGCAGGTCCAGTTGCAGGATTAAAACCTAATTTTGAACATTTTTTTTAAAAAGAAAGAAAATCAACATAGTTTGGCAAAAAAACTATTCTTTATAAATCCAGGCTACTTATTGCGCATGGGTCGATTATATTAAGAGGGGAATTTTCTCAATATTTGTTCCATTCTTTGATAAGGGATAGAGGTTAGATTTTTTTCTGGGGGTCTAATTGCTAGGATGATTCTCCTTTTTTGAAAATCAGAACTATATTTGCTTTTCTCCAATCTTGCATTACCTCGGAATTCAGCGAATGTATAAAACTGTTCAGATTTTTCTTCAAGTATTCTACTTACTCTTCATCAATAGCTATATTTATAAGGTTTTCCTCAGTTCTTAATTGTCCAAACTTGTTTATTTTTTTCATTAAAGATAGAATTTGTTTAAGTGGTTCAGTATGATGGTCTTTTTTAATAATTAATTTAATCCCTTTCCTCATTTATTAATTGACCTACTTTTCCTTTACTACTATTCCCCCCACCCCGATATTTATTAAAACCCTTCTTATTCTCCTATGCCCCTAACGGTAACTCATTCTGCTTTTGCTGCCCTTATCTTTAGCATGAGTTCACTTATAAACCAGCTTCACAATTTCTAAAAAATTACCTACATGACTGAAATTTAAACTCATTCTACCTGATATCTAAAGGGAACAACAATCTTTAGCCTAACTTCTCTAACCATCACAAATATATTAAAAGAAATAATTCATGTCTCTGTAACAGTGATTTTTAATTCAGCCACCCATATTCCAGTTGCACCTTTGGTTTTAAATTCTCTTCCCTCCTACCACCTGCTCCCCATATACAGCTATAGGCACAGAATCTACAAATAGGTACATCCCTGTAGGTTTATGCCCACATGAGTCCCACTGACAGGACTCCACATGGATGGTAGGGGCCACAACAGGGCAACAGTTTGTATGACTGGGGGCCTACCCAACCATCACATGAAATAAATTTCTGGGTTTTTTGTTAAAGTTCTCTTTTGCCAACATGTTTACCAAGTCATAGCAGACAAGAAATGTAAAAACATGCTTTTGACCAACATTTACATGTAATGCCCCTCATTAAAATGTTTCCATTATCACTGTAAAGTACCCACACAGAAGTAGTATTTGGAAAATGCTTTACTAATTCATCTCAATTGACATGAAACATCTAATTTGCACTAAGATCCAAGGGAATTACACTAACTCCTATTGTAGAGACTTACACCACTATATTAACAAATAAAGTCTATCAATGGTTATTGGCTTTTGACTGCTCACCACAGAATCATAGCACATGAATTGCTATACCTGTCAGACAACTCAAAGCAAATGTACTCAAACAGTTAGTGTGATTAAGGCAGTCTCTCACATAATTTTTGGAGAAAAAAATTGTAGCTTATTTAAATTGTTTATCATAGGATCAGGAGCATATCCAGTTTTAAATTTATGTTTTTAATGAAGGCTAAAACACACTCTTATAGTCATCTGGCAAAATTCCACAACAATCAACAGGAAAAAATAGTTACAGTTTCAAAACAACAACAACCCTCACTACCTGAAAAAGGGTGTGGTATATCTTTGACAAGACATTCAATTTGATGAAGACATATGGATCACCAGTGTGTCATACAAATAGTTAACTAGCTATTTAAGCAATAATTTTAAATCAAAATGACATGATCCTAAGAGATGCTATAGCAAAACAGCCCAATGGTCCACCTAGTTTGAGATCTTATCTCAAACAATGCACAGTGCCAGATGCTTCACAGAAAGATGTAACTTCCTACCATCACAAACTACCAAGGCTCCAAATCTGCTAAGGTATCCATGTGAGTCTTCTTCTTAGTGTATGTGCCACAACAGTGAACACAGAGTTCAACAGGGCTCCTATAAACAGCTGCCTGTGCAGATCTCTTTACAGGATCCGGGCTCCACGTTACATACTGGGAAAAACTTCTAAGGTTGGTAGGCCCAAATTTTGACCAGTTCAGTTTGCAGAAGTCCTTAAAATTTGTGGGCCAAGATTTTGAAACATAACTAATGATTTTTGTGTACCTAAACTGAACCCCCTCACAAGGGTCTGATATTCAGAAAGTAGATGTCCAAAAATTCATGAAAATAAGGCCCCTTTAAGGAATATTAAGTTAGGAACACAAACACTGAGGCTCTAAATATCACTAGTTATTTTTGAAAATACTTGTGTTGGTGTCTTTCTTCCTTCTCCTCCCCTCCACTCCCCTCCAACAAAAAACTTCAACACACACACACAAAAAGTCAGTACCCCAGCTATAACCTTGCAATAACAAACCAATGAGCGCGGAGTGGAGGGAAAATAAGTTAGTTAAGAAAACACTTCATCTTCCCATGGAATGACCAACAATGAGTAAAACAAGAATAGCAAAAATTATGAAAAAATAACTGATAGTATAGTTCAAGAACAGCCTATTTAAAAGATGGAAATCTATGAAAAACGTAAACTGTTTTTAAAGATTTTTCATTTTAACAAATTATTTAAAAAATTTCTTTTCAGTAAAATAAAATCAATTACAGTTCTTTTAAAGTTGTTATGATTGTTTATGTAAATCTTTTAGAAAACTTTGGTATTTTTAATATCCTGTCAATACTATCGTAATAATATACAAACTTTTAGTGATTTGGTCTAGTAAGAATCCAATGTATTTTTAAATAAGAAATGACACATTATATATTTTAAATGACTTATTATTTGGGTTGTGCTAATGACCACAGTGCGCAAGACACTTTCAAAACACAGAAGAAGCCACAGTAACTGTCCCAAAGAGTATACAGCCTATTACCGCAACAAGCTTGAGTGTTCTAACTTTTATTGATTTGAAAATATGGACCTGAAAGAAGGGAGGGGTCAGACAACAATCATCATATTACAACTTTAGTACATTTTTCAGGAGTTTGAGTCCATTAGGAAAACTCAAAAAAGCAAAAACCAATTCCTGTCATCCAGCTCATCTTTAGCAATATGCTCCTAATGCTCAATATTAATAAAACAAACAAAAATAGATGGAAGACACCCAAAAATGAGATTCCCAATTTATACCTAGGCCCACTTGTAGCCATTAATATAGTACATAGTATTAGAAAAGTTTATTTCTTCAATTGCTGGGGATTTTAAAGAAATAACATGCCATCACAAAATAAATCCAGTAGCTACAGACATCTGACTATGGTTTTCCAGACTTCAATGTAACTCAATAACTGCTCTACACAGTGCTGTGAACTCTACAGCTTCAAGCTGGAAGTCAATCTAGGACAGCCAATAGAAAGTGCACCTGTGCAATTACTGCATTTTCTAATTCAGAATGCTAAACCTGAGACAGATATAGCTCATATGCATTGTGAGAAAACAAAAATCAACAATTAAAACAACACACAGAGAATATATCACAAACAAAAAGCACAGCCTGTATCTATTTTGTCATTAAAAAATTTGAAAATTACTATAAAAATATAAATATGATGTATATAATTTAAAAACATAAATGTTGGCTCCTTAAACATATGGCAAGCATTTTAAATTAAGAGATGCCACTATTATTTTTAGAATATATACAAGAATATTTTCATACAGATTAGTTGATAAAAGTTATAATTAACTTTAATAAAAGACCATTTAGTAACTGAACAGTAGCACATACACCAAACTAGAAGATGCACTATAAGGTTCATGAAAGGTCAGAAAAATAACCCTTAGTTATTAATAAGATCACTGAAAAAAAAATGCAGGAAACTGATATTTTTAAGTAACTGAAAAAAATTAAAATATCCTATTTGACAACGCTAGATGATAAAAATCAACTACAAACAGCTGATAATTGTGTATTTATATATTGTTGAGAAGCAAATCATTTTCCACAAAAGATGTATTTTTAAACCAGAGTATAACTTCATAAACAGGTAACCAAGTCAACCAATAAAGACATTTTATTCCTCTGAAATGAAACAAAGTTTCAATAACTAATATACTAATTTGGTTGCTAATATCAGTTTTACTGTATTTTCAACTTAAAATAATCAATAAAAATGCTTCTGATTATTCTTTACATACTTGGGTTTACCTGACAGGTTTAAGGCTGGCAGATGTAAAATACAAATATAAACAATAACAAAAAGAGATTACAAATATCAACAATCACAACATAGAGTTACTTTCAACTGACCAGTGAACCAGCTCAACAGTCGATTAGGAAGTGCTTTATTTTAGAGTATTTTTGGTGGGTGGGGTTGCTTTTACTGTTACACACATTGAAAATAAAATGCTATCCCATGCTCAATAATACTATTGAAAGAGCCCTTATCAGCACTTACCGCAAGTAATACTGTTTTAAAGCGAAGGCAGCGTTAGAACAACTTCTGGGAAAGTTAAACTCCTCTACAATTTCTCCCCACTGATTCTTCTCAGATACCTGTCAAAAACAACATACAGACAGAGATACACAACACACACACACACACACACATCGTCGATAGTGAACATCACAAGGAATACGGGCTGCCATGAAACAAATAAATATATGAAAAATATAGAGAGAGAGACATCTATGTATATGGGATATATGGCTATATTTCTCATTGACAGTCCCTGGTGGTCTCCCCTCAGGTATAATCCAGCTCCTCACCACTATTTTACATTTTATTTGATGTATTTGGTTATTCTGGGTGAAACGGAAGGGTTATATTGTTTTGGGGTTGTTTGTTTTGTTTTTACTGCCTGGACAATAACCAATCGGGAGTCCCTCTGTCGCCCCCTTTTAAATCCTAACGCGGTCCGTTAAAAACCCAAAGAAGTTTAAAATGATTCAAGAAAGTCTTGGAGGGGGCACCCAGTGGCCTCCGGGGTTCAGGGGAGCGGGGGAGCCGGCTCGGTGAGTCCCCCCAAGACAGATCTATAGACACAGAGAGGCCTTTCTTTTGAGGCCTACATTTCTGTCCCTAGCCTTGAAGCCTAAAGATGGCTATTTGATTACACACCGTCTTGGGTGCCCCTTTTGTTATTTCTCTCTGGGAAGGGCTCCGAGGGCAGCGCCTGGTCCCCCCCGGCTGCGAGGATCATTTCCTAGCCCATGCTCCGTGCCGATTATCGATGTTAAACATGCCCGCTAATTTTGAGTTGCACTAAAACTGCACTCAGACGCTCCTCTCCGTCTCTGCCTGTGTGAAACACACAGAAAGCAGGAATCGCCAGCGAGAGAAACAAACTCACACGCAGACCCACACACTCTGCTCTCTCTCCTTCTGCCAGGAAAGAGGGGAAGGAAAAAGGGGGCTGTGGAGGAGGAAAGGGAGGCACAAGTAGTGTGTACGCTACACCCCCAACGATCCCCCTTCATCTCTCTACCAACAAGGCCAAGCCACCAACCTGCCTGCCTGCTTCCTTCCTTCTTCCACCCCCCACCTTCCCTTGCCGGCTTTCAATGGGACGCTTCCCGGCCACCCCACCTCCCCTCTTTGCCCCCGAGGGTCAGAGCAGACTTTTGGGAAGAGGTTACTGGGAGGGAAACCCAAATTAAAACTTCCACTCACCTTCCCAAATCCGCCTAAAGTGGTGACTCTGGTGTAGAGAGCGTGAAGATCCAGCTCCTTCCCACCCACCACAGGGATCTTCTTAAAAGGAGACCTGCCAAAGGCGATACACACAAAACAACACAACTTGTCAACTCTGCCCCCTTTTCTCCCCTCGCAGGGGCTGCCGTGTCCTTCAGGGAAGGGGCTGGAAGTTGGATCTGGCCGGTTTAAAAGCCTCCCCCCCCTCCCCTTCCATCTCCCCATTTTCCTCACCCTCTGCTGTGGTGAAACTGCCGCAGCTCGTCCAGGAAAGCGAGTCCCTTTCTCCGCTGGTCTGGTTGGGTTTTACCCGTCGAATTTGCCATTTTTTGTATTAAAAAAGGTTTTCTTAAAAAAAATCCAATTAAAAAAAAAACAACAACAATCCCCAGCTCCTCCTTGTCTTTACGAGACCCAGGTGCCCGTGCACGGCCGGGGATCAGCCATGGAGAGGGGCTTGTTTAAAAAAAAAAGTTTAAAAGGAATAAGGGAGCCCCCGAGAGCGTGGTAATTGCGAGTCCCGTCTCCACACAACACACGGGCAGAGACACACAGGGAGGGAGAGGGGCACCTCTCAGTAATTCCTGCTGCTGCCTGTCTCAGCACCACAAACCCAACCGATCCAGCCTGCACATGAGACTCAACATGGTGCTGCTGGATCACACAATGAATTGGGTTAGTGTTGTGGTGGGGCGGGGGGAGCTGGAGTGAGGTATTGACAGTGTGTGTGTGTTACAGACGCGGCTCCATGCAATCTCCCTCTCTCTCGCTCTCTCTCTCTCACACACACACACACACACTGTACAGCTACAGCAGCGGCGGCGGCGGCGGCGGCAGCGGGATTCACTTCTCTTCTCTCTCAGACAAAAAGATCTGAGGCCGCCGTGCGGCTGCCTGGGCGAGAGCGCAACACAGCGAACCCCAGAGGCCGGCCCAGGTACTGCAAAAGGCAGCTCGAAAGGCAAAAGCCAGCACAGCCCCTGCAAGCAGTTCCTGGCGGGGAACAATAGGCTCCTCTCGCCGCTAAGGGCTCATCTGCAATGTGCCGCAAACTTCACACAAAGCCAGGCGGAAAGAGAAAAGGGAGAAGGAGAAGAGGGAAGGGAAAAAACGGCTACTACCGGTTGTTCTAGCGTTAGGGGTAGGGGAAATGTGCCCTTCTTCCCGGGCTTTAAAGGGACGAATCATTCCAGTGACTTATTCGAGGGAGAAACAAGGAGACAGAAAAGTCTGATTTGAAATCTCTGTATTACATTGGCCTAAATCAAATATACTGAGTTAACAAAATGAAGGGGGCATGGGAGGATTATGACTTAAAAACAAACTTTTGGGTGTCAAACTCCAAGGCATTTTGAATGTTGAGGGGGATTTTACATACTTCATTGAAAGGCCCCCAAACACATTTTAAGAGGTTAAATATTGTAAAATCTTCCCAATAAGGAAGTCTGATCCCATTCTTAAATGAGTGATACCTTAGGCAGGTATGTCTCTAGGGGAGTGAATTGTCTTGCTAGGTGAATATTTTCTTTCTGGTTAAGAAGTGATATTCTTTGTAATTAAACATTTTTTCTAATTCTGCACCCCAGACAAAGTCACATATATGCCTGTGAGCAGTTAATGGGATTTCCACCTGTATGCTTCTCTCTAATATTGGCCCTCATACAATTCATAGGGGGGAAAACTTGTCTCTCATATACATTGAACAGGACCTCTCTTATAATGAGGCCCAGTGTCTAGGCCACCACGTGTCCCCTGGCATACAGTAAATGAGACTCCAGGTAAGCTCTTGTCCCTCATACAGTATGTGTGAACCCAAGTGAATGCTTTTATAGTTTTTCAGCAAGGCCACCATCCTGCTCCCATTAAAGTAAGTGGGGGTGGGGGAGAATGGGGTCATACAGTAAATGGGATCCCAGGTGAGTCCTCCCTAAAACTCATCCCTCATTTATAGACCAGTAAGTGATAATCCAGGTGGGCACTTATCCTTCTCATAGGGTAAACAGAACTTGAGGTGAGCACTTGTTCCACTTTATAAGACTCCAGAGGCGCATTTCTTTCTCATACATAATAAATTGAAATCCAAGCCCATATTCAGCAGTTTTTAAGAAGAATTCCTCATTAAAGTAGGTAAGAAGTTCTGTTTTAAAATCGATGGCACATTATGGCCTCAAGTGAGCACTTCAAGGAAAACTATAATGCCCTTATACTCCCTGTACTAACTTACTTAAGGGAATAAAACATTTTTTTCATGTAAGATTTTTTTTCTTTTAACTTGACTGCTCTTTCAGCTTGAATATACCCACAGAGATATAGTAAGATGTTCGGAAGGAGTTGCCCTCTAGGTCACACTCATTGTGGAGAGGGAGAGGCAGAAATCCCGCAGTTTGAAATTAACTCTCAGGCAGTATTTCAAGCCTCTCCCCTCTCTGGATGGAGGATTTTGTTGTGTGTTTCTGTGTGAAAAATGTATAGAGTATCACTCAGCCTTATTTTTAAAATGTCCTTCATTCAATTTAGTCCCGAAGAACCCTGAGATCAGCACCCCTATGATATTGAGGGGTTTTGCTATTTCAACAGTAGTATATGCGAGGCTGCTAAAGCTGAGATAATAAGAATGAGAGATTTAAAACAAAATAAGGAATTGGGGATCTAGATATCTCTTTGAAACATACACAGCAAAAGCCTTTCTCACGAGCGGGAGACAGTTTTAAACATGCCTTTAAATGCTTCTGAACTCAGAGGTGGGTGGGTCTCCCTAAGTGAGGGAGACTTGGCAGAGGTGAATCATTTTTCCAGCCTGTATGCAGTCGGGGGGCGGGGGGGTGCAGAGGGAAGGATAGTCAAATTGCGTAGCAGGGTTAGGTGGGTTTCCGTGTTAAGCACAGCAATTGCGCACGGTCCCTTACGTAACTGTCAGCTGGGGATTCCCTAGAGGGGGTCACTGTATTCAACCATTACACAGACCCCCGCCGCCGTTCCAACACGCCTGGGCTGCCGTTGCCGCCGCTACTGAGGCTGCGGCTAGAGCTACAACCGCGGCTCCTCACAAAATGGCGGCGCCCATGGAAGCGGTAGCAGCCCCATTTTGTGCCCATAGAGCTGTCAACAAAACACGGACTTGGCCGTTGAAGAGACGTAGAAGGCGGCGGCGAAGCGACGTTACGGGGAGCGAGGGACTTCACCGGCCCCCCCGCCCCCGAGAAGAGACTTTCTATAAAGCGTGCGCGCACTGCGCGGGGCAGGCGAGCAGCGGGCGAAGCGGCGATTTGAGCGCTGGGACCAGCCGGCAGCGAGGGCTCCGCGGGGACCTTCCGGAGCTGTGGCTCCGCGGTCGGGGCGACGGTCCTGCCCTGTGCGATCCGGGATGCTCGGCAGCAAGGCGCTGCCCCGATCTCGCCGGCAGGGACGGGGAGGTTCCCCGTGGGGATAGGTCTCGGGCACTGGGTGTGTACTGCGAGTAGCAGTGGGGTTGGGAGCGGATTTGCTGTCTCCTCCTGGAAACCTTGTTCCGGGCTCGCTCCTTGCTCTTAAACCTCTCCCTTCTTGAGCTCGTGGTTGGCAGCCCAGTTTATGTAACTTTATTGCTGTAGGAATCTAGGAAGGAGCTGTAGGAAGATCTAGGTTCTTAGTGTAGTTAATTAGGTCAATTTCAGCACTTAATTACGGTTTGCTTCATTTTAGTGCGTGCCTTTGAAATCGGCCTATTAGGCTGATGCTTCAGTTTACATTAGCTAACAGCAAGGTACAAAATGTCTGTGTTAGACTCTAACCCGTGACTCTGCCATCTTAACAACATGTTGTTTTAAATTTAAACAGTGGTTTGGTCTTTAATTTGATATAGCTAGGTTCCATTTGATATGGTTTTGTAACTAATGTTTGTAATATTGCAATGCTTTTTATTTCTTGTAGTAAAAATGTACTTTCCTTCGGAGTAAACGGTGGGGGATGGGTTGGAGTAGGAATTAAATTAAGATTTTACCCAATTTCTCTAAAGGTAACTTTTGTCTAGGTGCATTGTTCATGGTTCTGAAAGGCAGATGCTGTCTTACTGATCGTAGAACGTTTCTTTTTTTTAAATTGGAATTCTAAATATACAGCAAGTGCTTGAAATGAGTGGTGTTCAAAGGTTATGAAATATCTCATTGTGTGACATTAAAAAGTCAGAACAAAATACCACTGCCTTACTGTAGCTTCCCTTCATTATTATTGTATGGTTCTTATAACTGTAACTTGGTATAAAATGTAAAATAAAACCTAAACTACGAAAATTGTTTAGATTATATGTAAAACTAACATGTACAGGGCAATTGATTTACTTTATTTTTTTATGTTAGTATTATCTGTGGAATCAGTGTTCTTGTAGATCATGCAGATTTAATGATTGATCTAGGATTATTTACACTGTAAAAGTTAAAAAGTGTGTGTGTCGGGGGAGGGGAAGACAAGTCTAATTGTGAAACAAGATCCCTACTGCTCTACATCATAGTTCCTGTTAGTCATTTTGTCTGACTCTCCACTACAGTACTATGTTTTGCTTGCAACCTATTTGTCCAACTGCTGCTCTCTACAGGCCAGGCCACAGCTGCACTGTTAGCATGCCACTACTGTGTTTCTCCTTTCTGGAGGGTGAAATGTTGTTCAGCTCTTCTCACTGGCTCCTTTCATCCGTGTTTTTGCTACTCTTGTTGCTTGGAAATGTTAGTTACTGCTAATCAGAAACGTAATTTTGCTAGCCAGATGTTGATAGGAACTACTAACTCAGTAATTTTGTAAATTCTTGAAATTGAGGTGCTAGCGTATTTCTCAGCTAGTATTTTTTGGTAACTGCAGTCTACTACATGGGCTAGAGAGGACAGTTATATAGTACATTTCTTAAGTTGTGCACACAGTACTGTGCAGTATAGGATGAAATCTTGGAAAGGAATACTGTAACCATAATTGTGGGTTGAGCATTTGGCTAGAGGAGAAATAGTCAGACACTTCACATGACAGTCATATATATTTCAAGCATTTTTAGTAACAACACATGTAGAAGTGTTGGCATTAATTAACTTCAAGACTTCTATGTTTGCATAGCTCACAATTACTGAAAAGTGTACACTTTCTAACAAGGGGTATTTACTCAAAAAAAGTGCAGAATACCTGCCATTTTTCCTTACCCCTCCTTACTATTTAATGCTTTTTAATTCTTTATTACACTTTAGAGTACTGGCTGTTTAAAGAAGATGTTACTAAAGACGTGCAAATCATTGATAAATATCTTTACTTGAACTGTGCAATATTATCCTATTTAAAAAAAGAGGGGCTCTTAAGCATATACTCAATTTTAATGTACCATGCTTGTTTTATCATATTTAAAGTGGAAAAGAACCTGCAATATTATGGCAGGTCTGCAAATTCTTACTCATGAGTAAGGTGAAGGTGGTGAAGGACTCTTCACGTAAGTACTGGTTTGCAGAATTGACCCTTTAAAATAATCTCAGTAACAAATACCATCATCTCAAAACTAGTCAATTTGAAAACCTTGGTTTAAGTAAATTCAGGAATTACACTTCCTCAATTCTCCTAATCTGTTTTCTACTTTCTTGTTTTTTAAAAAACTCATTTTTCATTGTGGTGTTACTGTGTAGAATTCTTTCCCCCTTCCCCCCCCCCCCCCCGCCCCCAAATAAAAGGAAAAACTTACTATATATGAAGTCTTGTTGCATGCAAGTAAATTTTTTTTTCAAAAATTCTTAGTTGTTATATGTAACAATATTTGTACCTACTATTTAATAGTAAGTACAAAATGTTCAGACTTTTTAAAAAAACAACTTTTATGTATAACACAATCAAAGCAAAAGTACTTGCATTAAGTAAATTCAAGACTA